AACCCTGTGCATGTAATTGCTGTCCACTCTGAGACTCAGCACATGCTGTTCTTTCCTTGAGATTCTTCTTAAACTAGTGTAACCATAATAATATTGTCATAATTCTTACAGCTTATTTTTTACTATACCATATCTTTTACTTAAACCTAGGCTTATATAAGACTTGGTTACAGAAATACTTATTCTATGAAATTGCTCACCAATCTCATCCCAGTCAAATTTTAGCCTCTTGGAGAGATTACTGAAGTATGGCCTCAATTTGTTCACGATTCCTTATATCTGCTTTATGCCCTTGGACACAGCTTCCCACAATGGCTTAGCCATTTGGCAAAATTGGCCAAAGCAACAATAAACAAATGTGACACAAACAGAGTCTTAAAAACGGTTGTAAAAGAGTGTTGGAGCTGCTGCCACCAAGTCTGGATCTGAGAAGCGTGTACCCCAACACCCGCCCCACATGCATTCCCAGTTTCTTGTGGTTCTAAGTCCAAGATGGCTAGTCTCAAGGATCAGCTGACTGTGAATCTCCTTAAGGAGGAACAGGTGCTCCAGAATAAGATCATGGTTGTTGGGGTTGGTGCTGTTGGCATGGCCTGTGCCATCAGTGTCTTGCTGAAGGACTTGGCAGATGAACTTGCTCCATGCTGTGCCTGGGCTTGGGCTGGACAGGTCCCGCTGGTGCAACATAGCCGGAAGGTCTCCCACACACTCACCGGGCCTGGGCTAGGGCTGAATCTGAACAGTGACTAGAGATTGTCAGAGGCATGTTGAAATCCTTGCCACCTTGCAGTCGGAAGCCCCACGGAGCTGGGCCAACCAAGGATACACTGTAGTTGCTCATGGTTCCAATAGCTCAAATTAGAATGCCAGGCAATGAAGGAAACTCGGAACGCGCGCCGCGTTGCCTCCGCCTCAGACTAGCGCTGACAAGTGTCCCTCTTGCTTTATGAAAGTTTGTTTCTATTGTTTTCCTTCCATTCTTTTTATCTATATTCCCTCCCTTTCCTCTGCACCTTTCCTTGTTGCTCTTTCCATTTCAACAGTTTCTTCCTATTTTCCAATGTCTGTCATCCATTTGTTCTTTACCCCTTGCTTAGTCACACATCAGAAACAATGCAATATTTAAACATGTGTGTCAAATTTATTTCACTTAAAATGATGTATTCAAGATGCATCCATCACCTGAAAATGTCTCAAGTTTATCCATTATGGAAGTGGAGTAGCCCGTTGTATTAATTGATCCTTTACATTGTTTTCTTGGTCTCCACTGCATTAATTTCTGCCCTAACCGTCACAATTTCCTCCCTTGTAGCTTTGCATTTGATTTGCTCTGCTTTTTTTAGAAGCTTGAGGTTCAATGTTGGATTATTTATTTGAGCTTGCTTTATTTTTCCAATGTGGGAATGCACTGCTATAAATTTCCCTCGTAGGACTCTTTCATTGCGTCTCAGAATTTCTAGTGTGTCATACTGGGATTATCACTTATTGCAGAAACTGTATGATTGCTTCTTTAATTTCATCTGTGACCCATGGATTGTTCAGGAGTATGTTATTTAATTTCCATATGTTGACATAGTTTTGCGGCTTCTTTGGCCATTGACTTCCAATTTCGTTGCCCTATGATCTGATAGTATTCATGGGATAATTTCGGTTCTCCTTTCCATTTACTTAAGCATGTTCTATGAGCTAGTGTGTGATCTATTTTGTGGAGCATTCCATGTACAACTGGAAAGAATTTGCATTCTGTTGTGGGATGAAAAATTCTATATACACCTACTAAGTCCATTTGTTCATAAGTTTGGTTCAGTTCTGATATTTCCATGTTGATTTTTTTCCTAGTTGATCTATTTGTGACAGTGAGGTGCTGAGGTCCCCATTACAGTCATCTTAGTGCTTATCTGATTTTTTATAGCATCAGTTTCTTTTAAATATTCCAGTGCGCTGGTATTTGGTGCATCTATATTTGTTTGTTATTGCTTCCTCTTTGGTTGTTCCCTTAACAAAGATGCAATGATCTTCTTTGTCTCTTCTAATCAGTCTTCTCTTAAAATTCACTTTGCCTGTAAATATAATAGTTATCCCTGCTTTCTTCTTGGTTTCCTTTGCATGGAATATTGTTCTGCATCCTTTCATGTTCAGGCTATGAATTTCTTTTTGAGTTAAATGTGTTTTTTGTATACAGCATGTTGTTTTTTTAAAAAAAATCTTTTTAGGATATTGTTGAATCTTGTTTCGTTTTTATTTTGAAGAGAAAAAAACAAAAGCAAATAACAAGAACAAAGACAAAATCAAAGCCATGTAGAACAATAAAAATGCATGCTGTGCTGGCCCTGGCCCCGGGGCTTGCTGAGACAGTGATTGAGACTGGGCTTGGTGGCGTGCGCCTGTAATGCCAGCACTTGGGGGGCTGAAAACAGGAGGATACTACGAGTCTAGTCTGTGCAGTGAGACCCTGGAGACCCTGTACTAAATACATAAAAAAGAACAATTGAAATGGAACAGAAAATTAACACTGGTTGTTATATTATATATTGTTATCACCAAATTTGTTGCTCAGATTGTTTCTCTCTCTCTCTCTCTCTCTCTCTCTCTCTCTCTCTCTCTCTCTCTCTCTGCGGTACCAGGGATTGAAGTGAACTCAGGACACTGTGCTTGAATCTTCTTTCTTGATCCCTTCTGCCAATCTGTTTCTTTTGATGGATTGAGA